TTGTACGAACCTTGCAATTTGTCTTGGCTGTTTTTGCCTGTTGTCCATACCCCCCCTCTATAAACCATTCAAAATTACGACTAATGTTATCGTTTCGAAGAGATCAGACGTGTGACCGTCTGACCCTCAGAAATATACCGTACATATACCGATGAAAAAATGAACTTAAGAACCATACAGTTTACTGTATGGTTAGTGGTAGTAGTAAGTATGTTTATTTGAGTTAACTATGATTAAATATATAACCGAAAAATTTCAATGAAACGGATTGTTTAAATTTCGACTGAGACTAATATTAACAGATCTATTTAATCAATGGCATTTGCATAAACAGATTTAAATTTTATTGAAAATACCAAGATAACCCAGCCCGTTAGCTAGGTCTAATTTCATACCGCTTTAAAAATTAATGGAGTAGACTAGATTCTTACGTTTCTACTGTTCGTATTTCGGATTGAGGAGCGTAGAATTTGTATGCTCTTCCAAACAACACCGAGAGACTGACTATTTTGTATTAAAAATAATCGGCCTACTGGATTTTCACAATCGTTACACTGCTTTCCTCCACCTTAGCTTGTTCGTCTCGAATAAGTTCCTAGCCGGTTCCATGGTAAGCTTCAGTTATCTTACTTTCGAATACGATACAATAGATCATTAATTCGTTCTATGATTGTATAAGGACCCTGCCAATTTGTGCGTAGCTTCGGAGATAATACTTTATTATTATAAAACAGATAAAACGCCTTCAGATCTTTGTTCTATCACTAATTAATTGGATGGGACTTCTTCTGAATTTGTGAATCTCGATCAACTGGTCTCTTCTATCACCATCATTGGTAGTTCCATTAAAAGTTTGGGTTACGCCGAATTTCAAATCAGCCGGAAGCCTTAAATCGTTCCTAAATATTGTCGTTGCCAAATATATGGTCGCTGTCGTATCCTGCTTTCCGGTGCGATATGCCATTAAAAATATTTCAATAAGCTCATCCCAATTATTATACCCGATACTCAAAATGAGTATTGGGGTATATTAGATTTGTGGTAAAAGCGGATGTGTGTAACGTCCAGAAGGAATCGTTTCCGACCCCATAAAGTATATATATTCTTGATTAGCATCAATAGTCGAGTCGATTGAGCCCTGTCTGTCTGTCCGTCCGTCCGTCTGTCCGTCCCTATTAGCGCCTAGTGCTCAAAGACTATAAGAGTTAGAGTAACGATGTTTTGAATTCAGACTTCTGTGATATGTCACTGCTTCAAGTACATATATATCAAAACTTACCCCGCCCACTTCCGCCCCACAAAGGGCGAAAATCTGTGGCATCCACAATTTCGACGATACGATAAAACTAAAAACGCAGAATCGTAGAGGATGACTATATCTTCTAAAGTTCAAAATCTGAACCAGATCGTATAATTATTATAGCCAGAATCAAGAAAACAATTTCATTCTTTCTCGCTCTGTCTCTCTCTAACACACAGGTTTCATGGTCTTTTTTGCCAATTGCAAAATATGAGTTCAAGGCTCTCTGAACCTATAAGAGCCAGAGCAACCAAATTTGGTATCCACTTTCCTGTGATATCGGACCTTGACCGTTTTGTGTCAAAATTTCGACACACCCCCTTCTGCCCCCGCAAAGGACGAAAATCCTGGGAATCCACAAATCTTAGAGACTATTTACGCTAGAGTCACCAAATTTGGTATCCGCACTCTTGTTAGATCTCACTATAAAACGTATATCTAAAATTTTTCCCCACCCTCTTACGCCCCCACAAAGGACGAAAATCTGTTGCATCCACAATATTGCAGATTCGAGAAAACTAAAAACGCAGAATCATAGATAATGACCATATCTATCAGATTGCTGAATCTGGATTAGATCAGATCATTTTTATAGCCAAAAGGAACAAATCAATTTGCAGTAGCTACGCATCGCCCGACGACCCGCTCAGACTGATTTTCTGTCTCTCGCAGGCACTCTTTGTCGTGTATTTTAATAATAGCGGCGTCTGCCGGATTAGAGCCATACTGACTAAGTATCGGGTATAAATGTAGAGTTGCTGTGTCCGCAGCAACTCACAACGTTCCCCCTCGTTCTGATTTGCATCGACGATTTTCCAAAGATGCTCTTCTAAGGTTCTGTTAAAACGTTCCACCATTCCACCGGATTGATGGTGAAGTGGTGTCGGACGTGTTTAGCCACTTGCTAAAATAATCAATTACCACGAGCACATATTTATTTTCACTGTTACTGGTTGGGAATGGGCCTGCTATATCCACTGCAAACCTCTCACACGGTGCTTCTGAACTGAAAACTGCACTGCTTTTGAGTTCTCCTGGAGTTTCTTTCTTCCGGAATGAAGGAGACTTTATTTCCAAAAGAATAGTTAAAAATACAAAGAATCCCATAGTCGGCCTACTAGATTTCCCATTCGATACAATATAAAATATCAGCCGATTTAATAAAAAAGAATATGCTATGACCAGAGTCAATAAAATTTCAACTTTTTGAGATTTGTTGAATATTGAAAACAATTAGTTCTATGACAGATATATGTGTTTATGTAGTGATTTTTGGCTGAATCACAGTTTTTCACAGCTCTAGCTGTTTTTGTCTTTAACGGATGTATCCTAATAAATTATTGAAGTGCTTCATCAAAGACTATAAAATATTAATATATTGCATCAGAAACAAATTCCATTTAAATTCCGATTCAGGTTCGAGCGGAAGGGTACTGTTCAATTTCCCAATATCAATTGTCATTCTTTCTAGGCTTCGCCTGCGGCAGTGCTGTGTTCTTTGCTTCGTTTGTTCGTCAATGGCGTGGGCAGCTGAGTCGGTCTATTGTGGTTCTCTGAATCTAATAATAAAATACACAGTCTTTAGCGACGCTCACCGGGGACTGCTGTACCGAGGTTCGTGACTCGGTTTGGTCGCAAGAAACCAAAAACAATATTCAACGCATGACCCAGTAAATTGATGGTCAAGAACTCGTGCCCATGACAATAAAATGTCTGGTCATTTATTATAGAATACATGTGCTTATACATTGAATTATTGCCATCCCGCTTTGATCCATTCGCTTGTGCACTGGAATCAAGCCAGGCTTCGGTTTTTGCTTTTACAAATATTTCCTGTTTCCCGCCACACTCAAGTGTTGGTCCAACAAATTAATCCTTTGGCCATGCTGTTACTCAAAGCTCGCCGAGTACACAGCTCTGCCGCAGTTAGAGACGATGCATAGGATAAAATAAATTGAAACCCCACGCGAAGGGAAAAAACCCCGCCGTTGAAAATTTGTCGGTTTTTTGGATCCGTATGCATCATTTTGGTAATTGTATAGCTTTTGGCTTCATTTAATTACGATAAATCTTTGCCAATATAAATGCAGAAACATGTACATATGTATGTACATATACATATATGTTAGCTTGGTAAATGCAATATCTTTATCAGTTTCAAAAAAAGGGAAAAATCAATAATATTACATTTGTAGTGGCTTTTGTGCCCTTGAATTTACTAATGATACCTACCACTTGATTCGGATACGACTGAGCAGTTGGATTGACTCATTGCTTTTTTTAAGAATTTTTCTTTTTGACGTAGCGGGCTTCCTGGTTGTCCAGAGATAGACGCTGCTCCGTGAATGCCTTTTCCATTGCTCCATTCGCTGCCATCAATTTCGACGGCCTTAGAAGCACTACGTTTAAAGTGCTCAAGGAAACTATCAATTTGTATTTCAATTGAATGGCACGGCGAGTTTTCCATTACAGAATCCTTCTTCTGTATTTATGTACAAACATATCTACGTATCTTTGTATAAATTTAGTTTTTTGTAAAGTTTTAGCTTTGGTTTCACAAATTCACAAATTGTAAAATCAACAATATTGATCAAAAAGACATGACACTCAGGGCATTTTTCACATTTAACCGTCGTTTAAACGATTTTAATTTTAAAAATGTACAATACTATATTTGCATGTACATAATATTTGTACATCATAATATACAATTTTTAATAAGTAGTTTCACCACTATTTATGCTTTTGTTCATCAAATGAGTGTCAAATGCAAAAATTCTCTACCAGAGCCTTTTTTACAGTGGACAATACTACTACGAAAAAGGAATTACAACTCCGAACCGGCAACTTTGATCTTAATCCACTTGTTTGTGATGCTTGTCATAACGTACTTAAAAGCTGAAATCATTGGATTGGTATGCATTTGCTGATGATGAGCATGCGCACAATCATTTCCTCTAAGGTCGCCGTTTATGTATTTACGTATATAGGTACATGCATAGGTTATACGTATACCTACTTATACTTGTACTTATACATTTGAATAATGACGGTACTCTATAAATTGCTCTTGATTAATCAGAAGACCGACATTATTCATAAAAGCTTTAGAGCTTTTATGTGCTCCGGTGTGGCGGGAAACAGCTGTCCTACCCCGCTGTTCGCGCACATTTGTGCACATTTTTGTCAGCGCTCCGATAAGCCAATCCGGCTGCTTCAGCACGAAAACGAAAAGTGTTGTTTCTTTGACCAATTATTTCCGAGCCAAATTTGAGCCGAGCCAAACAAAATATTTATAAGGATATTTATAATATTTATATACAAGCTGAATTGCCCTGGTAATGGTATTAAATTTATGTTAATGCTTCAATAAGTCATCAATTTTTTTCCTTTTGCAATTAAGATTAGTTTTCTTGTATAAAATTCGTTTGCTTTTCATTTCAACGGAGAAATCTTGCATTTTCTGAAAACGGGAGCACCAATTGACTGATATGTTATTTTTGTTCTAAAATAGTACGTCTTGATTAAACCTATACCACACTAACCGGAATACCCTAAGCAATTCCCATATGAATCGAATATTTTTACTATTGATAATTTTCCATCTCTACTTACTTTGTCGCTTTACGCGATTTTTAGTTGATTTTGTCTATTGTCAGCGCGGCGTTTGCGTAAAGTGAAATCAATAGTTTTATTGTTTTATTTAAGTAGCTGCTGCTGTAGCTGGATATAGGACAACGTATCTAACCAGAATAACAAAACGTTTCAACACGAGAAGTATACATACCGGAACAAAATATTTATTGAATAAATATATATTGAAATATATAACAAAGTCGGTGTGAATAAAAAGTAAATAGAAAATATGAACAAGGAAGAAGAATATACATCGGAAAGCGAAAACGACGAAGATTATTGCATTGACGGTGAAAATGTTGACTCGGGAAGCGACGATGATAGCATCAATAATGACGCTGATTCCGAAAACTACGATTCTGACGATAAACCTTCCAAATCCACCAAGAATCAGAAAAAACATATTTCCTCTAATGTCTATGAATCTGAAAGTTCCATACCTCGCAAAACAAGACAAGCAGACAGGAACAAAAATGATCGCATAAATATGGAAAAAGACGAGCTGGAGTCAGATGAGGAAACAGATAAATCGCGTTCCAATGCGCTCTGGGCCGACTTTTTAAGCGACGTTGGGACAGAGAAACAAATTCAACATAAGACGAAATCTGTGGAGACACCAGTAGAACCCACAGACGACACCAAGATTGCTTCAAAGAAACTTACCCCAGCAATTATCCCTCGAGAAGACACTTCTAAATGTTTAAATACGATTTTCGATGTAGAAAAAAGTAAGGACTCCACCAATGCAAAGGAAAACCAACAGCAACCTGTAGCCACCAGTTCGAAATGCTTCTCTCGTGTATCCAAAAGACCGCAAATTGGAAGTGGAGTTGGCTCTTTTCTAAATCAACTGGGGAAAAAAAAGAAATTGTCTGTGCTGGAAAAGTCGCAAATGGATTGGAAAACTTTTAAAACAGACGAAGGTATTAATGAGCAGCTGAGCACTCACAATAAAGGCAAGGATGGGTACGTACCTATGTTCCTTAAATTTCACCATTTCATTAATGTTGTTTTATCTTTCAGTTATTTAGAACGGCAGGACTTTTTACAGAGAACCGATTTGCGACAATTTGAAATTGAGAAAAACTTACGTCAAACGCGCCGGCAAAACTAAGTCCTGTCTCGGCTATACTCATTCCCTTTTATGGAATTTTCAAATAAAAATCCATATACCGATTACATTCTAAATTTAAGTGAAATAATATTCAATCCAAATAGAACGTTTTGAGATACATATATTATTTAAGTCTACGTAAACTACTTTGAATTTTGCAAGCACGGTAGCCACATCGAAAAATCAGAATTCGCCAACAAAATTTAAAAACATCGCCTACTTTATTAAGAAATCCGAAAAATTATTAATGGTTCATAAATTTATATATTTCTCTAACTAACACTGCCTGTTTTTCCCATTAGATCTGCATCTGGTCTCACAAATCTTTTAGTTAGTTACACTTAAGTCTAGTAGAACCAAAGTAGTAGACCTATGGTAAAAATATCGACAATTTCAATAAAATAAAAAAAAATTTAGGCGAAAAATCGCCAAGTGTTGCAACCGTGATTGTAATGTATAATTTAGTTATTTTGATTGAACAAAAAATCCGAGAAATACTACTAACTGAATGGCCTTTTTCTTAGCCTAGAATCAAAAAGAGTTATCCTTTCTTCTTCTCTCGCATCTCTGAAATTGATAAGATCTAGCATCTAAGCATATTTGCATTTGTAAATAATGTACATATGTACACACATGCATAAAGCTGAAATTAGATTATTTATAAGTTACAGACATCAAAAGGGTTCATAGTATGAACTTCATACATTTGTAATTCCTTGGTTCCAGTTGGTTATCAAGAGGTAAAACTTCCATAAAACGAAGCAATATTTCCAGATTTTCAGACCAAGTAGACCCCGTGTGCTGTTGAAGAAGGAATGACACTAAAAAATACCACGCAGCAAATGCAGTGCCGACCAAAATAACTCAAACGTAACCGAAACCGATCCCAATCGTCGACTCTGCGTTATACTCGTATGCACATATTGCTGTAACACCAGTCTCTGGTCGTTACGTTAAGCAGCGCCAAAAAGCAAGCCCAACGATCAGTTTGTTTCAGTTAACCCGCCGAGAAACTTCGTAAAGGCAAGAGCTCAAGCTCCGAAGAAAAGTGAAAAGTCTTGTGGTTTTCGTTTCGTTTTTGTTTGACAAAAGTGTCAATTGGCCAATAAGTTCAATTGGTTAGCGACGACGCGTCGGTAGCCGAAGTCATACTTACTACCCCAAAAGGGGCAACTGTTTATTGTGGCTCCTCGCCGTTGCTCTTCTGTCCCCTTTTGGTGGCTGGCAACCACGACTTCGAAAATCGACGTGGGGAATATGTTTCATTTGTATTATCACTGTATCAAAATCGAATATTAAATAATACGTCGGCATTGGTGAAAGTGTGTTAATAGCTTTGCATATGCGTTAAGAGTGCCGCGGACAAAGCTATCCCAGTTACAAAAAAAAAAGCCCGTGCCTCGGCCGGAGACAAAACTCATCTCGAATCCAAGTTGATGCATATGCATGGAAGGTTAAAAGTGCAGCACAAATAAACAGAATTGAACATGCGACTGTGCAAAATCAATCTCAAGCAATTTGAATAACTCGCCCAACCAAAGCGAATCCAAGTGCTCCGATTCACAAAGCTAAGACCTCGTCGTTGCATTAGGTATGAGCATACCAATTTGGTAATGGTACTGCAACAGTAAGTTAAGATACAAGTACATACAAATATCAAAAACTTTTTGCCAATTTTTTGCTGAAACAAACGAGTTTTCTGTACAAGTATATACCCGAAATATCCCCCAATCCAATTATGAAAAACAACTTAAATACATGCATATGTAGATACACATATATGTACATAGATACACGCATGTTGAAATGTCTTCGACTGGAAATTCTTGTGGGTCACTCAGGGCTCAACGCTTGTGAAACAAACGCAAACTTAATTGGAGTTCAGCAAGATGAACAAGTTGTGAGAATAACTGATAACCAGTTCGGTTGGATTTTAATATTTTGCCCACTATGTTGCAACCATACGCTTTACTAGGAAACCAACTCTTCGCATGAAGTTTCGTAAATCTTATAGAGTGTATGTTTTGTTAAAAAAGTGAGGATATATCAAAGAGACTGAGACAATGTCTTTTTGCCGTAACGCAAGGTCAAACAGAAAACAAAAAAAAATTCAACAAAATTACTGAAATCTTAATGTTTAAAGGAGGCAAAACAGAAGACTCAAGAGACGAACATGTTTCGCTCATCATTTCGTAAAATGTGGAGCGGTGTAGACTCGACTAAAAAATTAAATAAATTACATAATGTAATTAAAAATCTGTACCTATATACACACATACGTACATATGTATAAACTCGTATGTATAACTTTTCATGTGCTCTATAGTTGGAATGTTTTTATTTGTGTGTTTATTAATGTTAAACGTTTTCTTAAATCTGGTCAAGGCTGCTCAGAGTCGTTGGGAATTATTTGGTTTTTATTGCCGGAGTTGTCATTTGCTGTGTGTCATCCCAAAGTTATTGGTTAAGTGATAGCTTTTGTAAAATAACATCAAATGTCCCAGACAAGCGAATCAAATAAACAAAATTGCGAGAAATTTCGAGAAACCCATGTTGTTATTAAATGGTTAAGCTCTATGATCCCAAATTGTTTTGGCAATGGCCTCAGAAGTTTTTAGACTCAGTGACTCGATGCAAATCATCCAAATTGATTTTTCAGTTTTTGTAAGTCTATCAAATTAATCATTATTTTGCTGCGTATATAAAAGTGACAGTTGTATTAGCTAATTGTGCAAAGTCGTTGAGCTACTCTAAAAAATCTCCACTCTGCGGTATGATTGTCTAATTTTTGGCAGAAGCACTTAAGCAATTCGCTTTCCGGCGTCGGCCTGACACATGCCAGCACAACAAAGCAGCCTCAAAAGCATAAGAAACTGCGTTCCATACGACATTTGGCAAAGCTGTAAGGCAAAGGTGTAAGGCCATGCATAGGGTAATTGGCATAAAACAGGCACATAGCTTAACGAAATATTTAGTGTAGCAACGCCAAAATTTTTTTTCGTCTTAACGGATTTGTCTTTTGGCTATGATGTAAAACCGTGGTAACCAAACAATGGCCCTTAGAGGAGAGGAGAGCATCGCCATAGTAAATGAAAACAACTGTTCCAACAACATTGGCCATAAATAACGGTCACACCAAACTCCTAGGTAAATATTGTTTTCTTTCTTTCAAGTTGCGAATGCTGGAAGCCAAGAGACTCTGAGTGCCCTCAGTACGTTTTTGAGGCTTGCTGGGCTGACTTTCACTGAACTGAACTCCTTCATTCTGCGCTGGGCTACTTTCTGGATTGGATCATGGTATTTGGCGAAGCAGTGTATAGTGTAAACACCTTTAAAAATAGTTTGCAGGTGGAGATTTTTATATCTATCTGAGAAGCTCTTGCCACATTCTTTTCGGCCAATTTGGCGAAGTTGTTAAAAAAGAGCTTTGATTGTACCACATATGGCGTATGGCGTATGGGGTATGGTGACTGGTGCGCCCGTTTACTGTAGCTAAATGAGGCGTGCCACGTCTACATGTGTGTATGCGTCGTCGTTGTGTTGTCGTCGATGGCGGTTTTTCTGAGCGCCGCCTGAAACGCCTGAAACGCCTGCACTTTCGTTTTCTTTGAGCGCATTCAACCTGATATTGCACTGACTGAATGATAATGACGAAACACGTAATAATGATCTTGCCACCAGTTGCCAGCCCAGCCTACAGCCGACAGCCGACAGCTGCAACTGGTTGGCTTTGCAGTGAAACACAGCGCGAGTACTTATCGTCGTGTTCAAAAGCCAGAGCGCGCATGCACTTAAGTAGCAGTGCTCCTCCTGGACTCCACTCTTTAAAAATAAATAAAGCTTTGAAAAATACCGTTGGAATGCAATCGGCTTCTATAAGTTCGGTACAGAGGCTAACTTGACTCCGATATGCAAATACTTGTACTACCCACAGCAGAAAGTGAAAGCCTCATACCATTTAATTAATTATGATTTTTTTTATTGATTTAACCTACAATTGCATACGTAGTAAGTACTATACTTGTACATATGTACATACATATGTGAGCACCGACTGACGCCTCGTCTGATACCGTAACCAATTAAAGCAAAACTCAAAACGCTTTTATCCCTTTTGTTTTCGTTACGCATTCTGCGTCTGCTAAACGATTTTGGGTTTTTCGGCTCTCATGTGCATACGCATAAAAGAGATAACCGTGCTTTTGTTACGACATCGATTTGATGACACGCACGTACTATGTACATATGTATATGTATCCACTTTGCCCGAACCACTTGTACACTTGGCCAACTGCACTATCGCGATTTCTGGCCACAAATGCGAACCATGCGATTGAACGTGTCGCGCATAAACTGCGGATCGTAAATCTCATCGGGCGGTTACACTCCGCAACAAAACTGTTTTTCAACGTACCTACATACATATGTACGTACATATGTATATTATGTATATGTATTATGTATGATTGACTTATATTTGATATAGGTTCCATCAAAAAAATGTAGTGTGAGAAATATTTCATTTATACCAGTTACCTAAAAGGTATATAGGGGTGCAGGGGTAGATTTTTGTGTTAGTGGATGTGTGTAGCGCCCAGAAAAAAGCGTTTCCGACCCCCTTGATCAGCATTAAAAGACGAGTCGATAAGCGCCTAGATCTCAGGAACTATTAGCGCTAGAGTAACCAAATTTTGTATCCAGAGTCCTGTGATATGACTGAACGACTGAATAAAGTCTTAATATATTGCCGCCCCCAAAAAGGAAGAAAATCCGTGACATCCATGATTTTGAACACACAAACAAAATTACAAACGCAGAATGCACCCTCTCGTGGAGGTGATTCTTACTGACTTAGTATCGGATATATGTATGTATGTGAAGACTCGCGGCCGTAGCTGCGACTCACAACGTTCACGCTCTTTTTTGTTTTAAAAAAGCCCAACTAAACTTTTACATTCATATTCATGGGCTTCCACACATCTTTTGTATTTATTAGCAATAACTATTTGACACCAATTATACAGAAAACAGGAAGAATTGTCACAAATATGGAAACAAAAATGTTGACTTCAATATTAACTATACAATTTTCATTTGTCTTTAATCTTTATAGTGTTTTTAAATATATGTACATACGTATATACTTATAGAAATATTTATATAAAACGACTAGAGACGTCTATGTCTTTACATTGGCTACAATAGATTTGATGAAACATTGATATCCTTATATTTTAGAGAGAATCCCACATAAACGATTTTATTCTCGAGTATCGTATTCTCTAGTATTGTGCCGCTAATCGTAAGTCAGATGAACTTTGGGTATTTCATAATAAGACTTTAGTTCTTTTGCTGAAATATTCGTAATATTGCGAATGACTTGGTATTATTGATTTATCCGCTTGGTGTAATAGAATACAGATCCCGCTAAAAAAGCCAATGTGAGGCATTTAATTTTGCAACTTGCTCAACAAGAGCAAAAAATTAATTGCACGGCAGAAACATTTTTGCACTACATATGTACATATGTACATATGTATGTAGTTTCTAACACTTTTGGCAGGCCCGTCCTGCCTTGAGCTCAATGTTTACATTACTTGCAAAGTTTACCATTCATTTTCAATTCGTTTACATTACATACAAAATAAAACGAAGTGTAAAATTAAGTTTTAAGTTGATGTTAAAGCATTCGGAGAGTACAAGGTTGATATGGGACCTAAAGATCCAGAGCACATCTTTTGTCACGCCCTGTTCCACCCCCGTAAATTGAGAGAAACTCGATGTGATAATATTTAACTTGACAATGTCTTGACACATTTACATATAAAGATTTTATAAATCGTCGCGATCGAAAAATTATTCCAGTAGCATAAAAAGTTGTAATTTATGCAATGGGCCTTTTGAAATCATGAAAATGAAATCTCTGAGCTGTGCTGAAATGGTATTTGCGCGATGGACTACGTCACATGTTTTACCTTGAATTTTAAAATCTACTTCCTCTTATTTAATTCAAAAGATATAGAGAGGATGGTTGCTATGCATATATGTAAGTTTGCTTTTTATACCCAGTATTGTTTTCGAGAATATATATGAACGCCCAGAAGCATCGTTCTGTCCGCAATATGTACTAATCTATATGAATGCTTAGACATTTTACCTATTTGTATTATTAAACTAAAAATTATTAAATATAAAAATAATTAAATAATTGCGTATGCGCATATTTACCGCATAACCTCAAATCAATTAGTAGCGCAACTCAATTTAATAATCGAATGAAAGAATTTTTTTGTTGTGTCATCGATAAAAATAATATAGTAATAATAATAAAAAAAAAACCAAGCACTATAATGCATGTTTGTATAAAAATGTAATAAATGTTAATAAGTATTAGACTTAAGCAAATAAGCATCATAAATACGTAGCCGTAACTTTTTCATTCACCAATAATCACATTCACCTTTTTGACTTGAATTTTAGAATAATTTTTCTGGCTGGTTTTAGATGGTCCCACCGTAATCTCCCACATCTCTCTTTATCTCTCTCTTTCTGCACACCAACGAAGTAGCATGGGTTAATAATGATCTGATCGTTGTCTATAATTCTGCGTTTTTGGGTTTCTTCTATGATCAAAATTGTGTATTCCACATATTTCCACCCTTTCATAGGAACTTACAGTGTAATAAGTAGAAGCTCCTAGATCTTAAATTCTCCCGGAACTAGGCGGTATATCGTGTTGACTATTGATGCTGATCGGATACGTTACCTCCTGTCCGTTACATACATAACACGAACTTAATATACCCATATTCTTTTTCAGTACAGGGCAAAAAAAAACATGATAATGAAAACAAAATACATAAATCAGCCTAAAACGAGGGGGAACGTTGTGAGTTGCTGCGGACACCGCAACTCTACAGTTATACCCGATACTAAGTCAGTATGGATCTCCTCCGGCAGACGCCGCTAATATTAAACGACACGACAAAGAATGCGTGCGAGAGAGACAGAAAATCAGTATGAGCGTGACGTCGGGCGCTGCGTAGCCACTGCAAATTGATTTGTTCCTTTTGGCTACAAAAATTATCTGATCTGATCCAAATTCAGCAACCGGATAGATATAGTCATTCTCTATGATTCTGCGTTTTTAGTTTTCTCGAATCTGCAATATTGTGGATGCAAAAGATTTTCGTTCTTTGTGGGGGCGGATGGGGGTGGGGCGAAATTCTGAGATATACGTTTTATAGTGACATCTTAAAGGAGTGTGTGTACCAAATTTGGTTACTCTAGCCTTAATAGTCTCTGAGATTTGTGGTTGCCTCAGATTTTCGTCCTTTGCGGTGGCGGAAGGGGGTGTGGGGAAATTTTGACACAAAACGGTCAAGGTCCGATATCACAGAAGAGTGGATACCAAATTTGGTTGCTCTAGCTCTTATAGGTTCTGAGATCCTTGAACTCATATTTTGCAATTGGCAAAACCGACCATGAAACCTGTGTGTTAGAGTGAGACAGAGCGAGAAAGAGTGAAATTGTTTTCGTGATTCTGGCTGTAATAATTATACGATCGGGTTCAGATTTTGCACTCTAGAAGATATAGGCATCTTCTACGATTCTGCGTTTTTAGTTTTCTCGTATCGTCGAAATTGTGGATGCCACAGATTTTCGCCTTTTGTGGGGGCGGAAGTGGGCGGGGCAAAGTTTTGAAATATTTTTGGAGCAGTGACATATCACAGAAGTCTGGATCCAAAACATCGTTACTCTAGCTCTTATAGTCTTTGAGCATTAGGCGCTGAAGGGGACGGACAGACGGACAGACGGACGGACGGACAGACAGACATGGCTCAATCGACTCGGCTATTGATGCTGATCAAGAATATATATACTTTATGGGGTCGGAAACGATTCCTTGTGGACGTTACACACATACACTTTTACCACAAATCTAATATACCCCAATACTCATTTTGAGTATCGGGTATAAAAATAAAAACCCCATTACTTATCATATAACTTCTATAGGACATATCGCAGTAAAAACAAGTTTTGAGAAACTTTCGTGAATATTTTTTTTTGTTTGGTTTTTGAAGATACACGAAAAGCAAGCAAACTGAAGAAATGACTATTAAATACAGATATTCAAAAATACAGATGTGTCTAAATATGCTATGTTCGAGGGAACTGAAAGCTCTGGCTCTGGTTCTGATGTTTGGAATTAAAGGAGTATGGCGATTTTCAACGCTTTTGAAAAATTAGGTATTTTGTGTCATTCCTTATGTCCCTTTTTCCAAAGTCGAAAGTTGAAACCAATTATGTATACTAATACGCGTGAATGGTTGGTACTCGTACATTGGCTATATGTGTACGTATGCAAAGGGTATTCGATTTAGACCAGTCTCTCTTTAAGTCGAACCGAAGTCTGCCCTGTGTCTCCAGTTAAGTGGAATTCCAGTTTATTGCCCGTTGACTTTTTGCTGACACTGTGCGTAAGCTCATTAGTTAAAAAATTCCTTTTAGCAGTGAGAATACAACAATTATATGTACATTATAACATTTTCGGCCGTGTACTAAACGCTCGATTAAGTAACTTAAACATCACGCGCATGAGGCTGCCTCGTATCAAATCTATAAAATCTGGGAGCGTGCGTGGTTGCGTACCAAATACTAATCTGAAGTCGCGGCATACGGTTTAGAAGCTCTACGAGGATATAAGTGTGCAAAGCTGACCATATTTTTTGTGTCCCTTGCAGCAACATGCATCGAACTGTCGGCTTGTTGTTGATCCTATGTACCTGCGGCGCACTGGCGGCGGACATTCTAATGGCTACGCAAGGTAAGAGTTTCAAATCAACAAACGGCGTATTTATACATATGTACCTTTAAGATCATTTCAAAAATGCTTAGACCATTTTGTATTTATATTTATATTTTGTCTTCTTAACAGGTAGACTAATTTTAAGATTGTCGACGCATTAATTGATGAAAATTATTACAGGTGGAACCAAATCACATAAGATACCGTTTTGGGAGCTGGCCAAGGGATTAATAGCCAGGTGCGTATTCTTATTAGATTTCACACTCGCCACAATGCCAACGGTGCAAAAAGCGTATTTATTTCAGAGCAAAAAGTGCCAATTAATAGAATATTACATAAAACTAAGCTTCCAGTTATGTTAACCTTGTACCTCTAAGTTACATCAATCAATGAAAAACTAAAATTAATCAATATTGGTTCTGAAAGGGAAAAACTTTGACAGGGCGACCGAATATTTGTATTGTATTATTCCCCTCTTGTTTGAGTGTTTATTTCGAACGGATATTATTTATTAGGATGAGTCGTGGCACTGAATTCAAAGTAGAAAATTCGCATCAGTAAATACAAGTAAATGTTGTCAGGGCCTACAGAACGAGGACCCGCAGTGAATTATTTTGAATCACCGAGCTTCAAAAATTGTTTGTCGCTGGCTGTCTCACGAAATTTAATTTCATAACGCACAGAAACAACACATACGTTTATACAGCTTAAACAGATTTAGTCAAAATTAGAAAAATATTAGTATACAATATTAGAAATAAAAACAAATTTTGTTTCTAAACATAGTATAAATAATCTTTTAATTTTATGTTTCCTATGAACTGGAAGGGTATATAAACTTTCTACTGACGATTTCATTTGTTGATTGATCTGTTGTCATTTTCAGTGGTTTAGTATTTCGGAAAAACAAAAGTAAATCTAAAGTCATTTATTCATCTGTACTTGCACGTTCGTCTAATATACAACCTTTCTCGATTCCAGAGGACATAATATTACCTTCCTAAATGGGTTCCCAGCAGATTTTCATATCGAAGGCCTACAGGAGGTGACACCAGCTGGCCTGGTTGAATACATTCAGAACTATACGAATTGGGATCTTTTGGGTTCACGAATGGCTGGAGAAATGCCTATAAAGCCGTGGGATGGTCTTCGATATGCTTTTGAGGTAAGCAGATTGTGAATTGTATACTCGTGCAAAGATATTTTTTGTCAGGTTGTACAACTCACAGAAGGCAGCATCATATTCCTTATACCAATAATCTCTGTGTTTTAAAGTAATCTGGGTAAAAACCTAAACAGTCCTTCCTATTTGCTAAACATGCTCGGATCGTCCAAGATTAACAACACCAGACTTATTCGTGATACAAAATTTTATGTTTCATGCTGCACAAAAAAAGTACGGTATTTTACTGATTCTTGTGATACTTTTCTTAGTTAATCGAAGCTTCACATGGACGTAATTTTTATACCCGATACTCAAAATGAGTATTGGGGTATATTAGATTTGTGGTGAAAATGGATGTGTGTCCAGAAGGAAACGTTTCCGACCCCATAAAGTATATACATATATTCTTGATCAGCATCAATAGCCGAGCCGATTGAGCCCTGTCTGTCTGTCCGTCCCTATCAGCGCCTAGTGCTCAAAGACGATATCTGTGATATGTCACTGTTACAATTATATTTCAAAACTTTGCCCCGCCCCTTCCGCTCCCACAAGAAGCGAAAATCTGTGGCATCCACAATTTTAAAGATATCTGAATCTGAATCAGATCCTATAATTATTATAGCCAGAACCAAAAAAACAATTTCATTCTTTCTCGCTCTGTCCCTCTCTAACACCCAGGTTTCATGGTCGGTTTTGCCAATTGCAAAATGTGAGTTCAACGATCTCAGAGACTATAAAAGCTTGAGCAACCAAATTTGGTACCCACACTCCTGTGATATCGGACCCTGACCGTTTTATGTCAACATTTCGCCACACCCCCTTCCGCCCCCGCAAATGACGAAAATCTGGGGTATCCACAAATCTCAGAGACTATTAAGGCTAGATTAACCAAACTTAGTATCCACACTCCTCCTCGCCCCATCCCCTTCCGCCCCCACAAAGGACGAAAATCTGTAGCATCCACAATATTGAAGATAAGAAAAAACGCACAATCATAGAGAATGACCATATCTATCCTGTTGCTGAACAAAAGGAACAAATCTATTTGCAGTGGCTACGCAGTGCCCGATGTCACACTCAGACTGATTTTCTGTCTCTCTCGCACGCCCTCTTTGTCGTGTCTTTTAATATTAGCGGCGTCTGCCGGAAGAGAGCCGTACTGACTTAGTATCGGGTATAACTGTAGAGTTGCGGTGTCCGCAGCAACTCACAACGTTCCCCCTCGTTTTTGTAATCATTTATCTGGAAGCAAGTTATTCTGCTAAACGTACCCTTTGGGGTACTGCTTTTTTCTTCTATTTATCTGATCGCAACTATTTCTGAAATATATCTGGGTAGATAGATAGATGTACCCTTCCCAAAATGGGGGAAAATAGTGCTTTGCTTTTTGCAAATTTTCACACAAATATGCACACCAATTGTGTTCATGCTGTCTGTATTAACTATTCGAAAGTTATAATTAATTAATCAAAAACGGTTTTACATACATAACAAATTCGTATAGTCTCTAAGGTCTATGTCATGTGACTAGCGCATTAAACATAAGTGTAAACTTGTAGCGCTAGGATAAAGTATGCAAATAAATAAATATAATGATGTTATGCCGCTTAAGAATAAATACTCATACACTCACGTGCACATACATATGTACTCCGTCTATCTTGTACTCTATGAGTAACTTTCATCCATTTGACATGAATTTGATAAAATATTATCATCAGTAGAGCAGATTAAATTTATATTCAAACTTCTGTCGACAGTCGTGTGATGCTATGCTTGGTGATGCGGAAACCAAAGATTTGGCGAACCGTAGCTTTGATCTAGCCATATTGGACGGAGCTTTTCCAGAGTGTGTGCTGGGACTGGTACATCAATACAAAATTCCATTCATGTATATAAATACTGTAGGCTTCTACACAGGAAGTCTCTCAGTAGCGGGGAACCCCATTAGCTATGCCATAACTCCAAACTTTTACTCGCGCTTCACTGACAACATGAGTCTCTACGAGCGGGCAATTAACACGGGAATGCAAATCGGACAAAACCTAATGCACATGGTGAGTAAAGTCTTTGCACGGCTCTACAGTGTCTCTGTATTCTCAAATTTTTGTACAGTATGTTATGCGCAAAACGCATCTTGTCCTGCGTCAACATTTGGGCTCCCAAATACCACATCCCTACGAGATGTCACGCAATGTAAGCTTTATTCTGCAAAACGGCCATGCAGTGGTGTCATATCCCAGAGCTCTCAATCCTAATGTAGCAGAGGTTGCTTGCATACATTGTAAGCCCGCTCGAAAGCTTCCCAAGGATTTGCAGGACTTCATTGGGGCTTCCGGAGCCTCTGGCTTCATTTACGTGTCGATGGGGTCTTCGGTAAAAGCTGCCAATATGCCAGAGTCGTTACGTCGTATGCTAGTCAAGACTTTTGCCCGCCTCCCCTATCATGTACTATGGAAGTACGAAGGAAGCTCCGCTGACATGCAGGACCTGACGTCAAATGTGAAACTATCACGATGGTTGCCGCAGCAGGATATTCTGGGCCATAAAAAGCTGCGAGCCTTTGTCACTCATGGGGGCTTATTGAGCATGTTTGAAACAGTCTATCATGGAGTGCCCGTGGTAACCATGCCTGTTTTTTGCGATCATGATGTAAACTCCGCTAAGGCTGAGGCCGATGGCTACGCCATTAAGTTAGACCTGGAGACACTATCGACGAATCAGCTCTACAAGGCCATTATGAAAGTGATACACGATTCCCGATATAGGAGCGCTGCCAGATATCGTCAGAACCTCTTGCTTGATCAGCGCTCGACAGCCCTTGAGACTGCCATATACTGGACGGAGTACGTGCTCCGCCACAAGGGCGCCTATCATCTTCAAGCTCCAGCACGCAATATGCAGTGAGTTAATACACATACATATGTATGTCTCTCCCACCTCTATCCAAAATATTAAACCTCTCCATTACTTTCCTCAGCTGGTCTCAATACTATCTACTAGATGTTCTTCTTGTTTATCTTCTTTCCTTGTACGGTCTCTTCTTGTTAATCAAGCGACTCGACTTTCGCTCGGAGAAGCTGCGCAGCCTACACGTACCTTCGACTGCCGCGCCTACAGCCGGCAAAACAAAGTCGAAGAAGCTGTAACTGGATCCCACCCTTAGATAACTGATTAGGCCGTATATCAGTTTAAAATTTAAGCTTAAGTGGGTTTTGTTGTGATGTGCGTCCAAAAAGGCTCAAACTTGAAAAATTGTAGCTTTCTTTTCCTTATATTGACGGGAGAAATTACCTTGTAAATATTTACTTTATTCATAATGACCGAAAATGACTTTTCCAATAGCCTAGAATAAAATTTGATCATGGAACATTGAAACCAAAGTCTACAAAACAAAATGTCGAGAAAAGTTAAATCGAAATAAAGCTTAAATCATAAGTGTTTAATTTTAAAACATCTTATTTCAGTAATTTTTCTGGTCGTTTAAGGCCATTCAGTCGATCACATATGCTATTACAAGTATAGGGTAGAGCAATATGCAACGCCATGCCAAAGGCGGCTACGACAATTTGGGGCCATCGGAAGAATTTGTTGAACTTGAAGGGGCGGAGAACAGGCACTATAGTATTTAATTGATAATATTAATAACTGGTGACACTAAGAGATATGGTTTTTGGTAGTAATTTTACTACTATCCATTTAACCTGATACTATGTACCAGCTGACATCTGTTTGGTTTCTCAGAAAGTGACCGGCGGTACTTCCTAGAGAAACACTTGAAATTTCACCCACCGTGCGCAGCAGTGAAATCTTGTAATTTTTTCTCAGCACAAGGCCCCTTTTTTAGCTTTTTCAGATTTGGAGTCCCTCTTGGAGTGTCCGACAGATACCCAAAACTACCGTGTCCTTATCCGCGCAGCTGCCATCGATGCCACGAAAGAAAGCTGAACATTTCAATGCCACTTACTTTAAGTTTATGTTCGAAGGAATGGAGAAGAGTGGCAGCGAAGGCCTCGACGATCTCTTGATGGAACGCAAAAATGATTTCCTTGCTGATGTTGACTACGTTTGCATATCGGACAACTTCTGGTTGGGAAAGAAACGTCCGTGCCTCACCTATGGTCTCCGGGGCTTCGCTTATTTCCAGTTGGAGATAGAGTGTTCCACCAAGGATCTGCATAGTGGAGTTTTCGGTGGAACCGTTCATGAAGCAATGCCAGTTCTTTGCTACCTGCTCAGCGTACTCTTCGACAAGGACACCAATATACTGATTCCAGGAGTGGATCGTGACGTGAGTGGTCATATTAGACAACAAGCGACTAGTTATTAAAGTCCTCAATACCACACCCAACATCGACTTTGAAGTGGCCGAGTATAAGTAAGTTCATCTAATCTGCACATCTACATAGTTAATCTCTGTAATCGGTGTAATCTCCTGCAGGAAAGACGTTGGTGTCGAGCAGCTGCCGCATAACGGCGACAAATTGAGACTACTTCAGGCCAGATGGCTGTTTCCCAGTTTGTCCATTCATGGAATCAAAGGTGCTTTTTATGAGCCGGGCGCAAAGACTGTTATATTCAAGAAGGTCATTGGCAAGTTCTCCATTTGTTTAGTACCCGACCAAGACCCAAAGCACATTGGGAGTGCGTTGTAAAGTACATCAATGATAAATGGGTGGAGCGTGGCTCACCCAACAAAATAAAGGTATGTTTCCCAAACATTGATGCAGGCTAACCAGCTTTTGATCTTACGCATGTAGGTCTGAAGATCCCAACCACACTACGAGGCTGCGAAGCGTGCTATCAAGCATGTGTTCAATGTGGAACCTGACATGACTCGCGAAGGCGGCTCCATTCCTGTCACCCTCACATTGCAGGAAGTGACTGGAAAAAATGTCATCCTGGTGCCTGTGGGTGCTTGCGATGATGGTGCTCATTCTCAAAATGAAAAGATCGACATTTACAACTACATTGAAGGGGTATGTTTCCAATTGACGAATAGTGATTAAAACCTTTTCATTTACCAGGCCAAACTACTCGGCGCCTATCTGCACGAGGTGGGAAAGTTGTATGATGATCTACGAATATACATACTCATATAAGTGTTATCTTTATGAATTTACATTCCCTTTGTAGTTAGATATTAAATCATATCGTACATATGCACATACATACATACGCACTGGGATAAGCAAAAACATCCGTTATCTCCTTTAAAAAAAGGTTAATTACGTTCCTATTAGTACAAAAATAATAAAAATAGTAAAAATGATACAAAAATAAGAAAAGATTAATTTACTAGCGGTTCTACTGTACCCTTCGAATCAACTATTCATATGCAGGGAACATCTCATGAGCAGCATGTAAAAACCAACTGTGAACTGTTCTACGATGAATGAATTTCCTCATAGCCTTCAATGGATTTTCTATTAGAAATAGTAGGAATAGAAGCCGGCAGAACGTAAAACTAAACGCGCAAAGAATCAGACCCCGATCTATAATTATAATGTAATTAGACTCAAAAATGACGACAAGCATTCAAAAACAAATCTTTAGCGCTGGACCGTCATCCTTATTTGATGTACGTTTGATGTACACGTGAAATGTAGTCTTTTTTACGAAGGATGGCGGTCCAGGGTTAAATTCATTGAAGAATCAGAAACGGTTATGCATTTTTATACCCGATACATAAAAATAGTATAGGGGTATATTAGATTTGTGGTAGTACAATGTGTATATAGAGTCGCGGCCAAAAATAAAATAGCAGCGACTCTCAAGGTTCCTCCTTGTTTAAACGTTGTAAACTACATAAGCATTTAAAAACTATTGTGCGACCCATAAATGAAGCTATAAAATAGCCTTTGAAGTTTGTGCAAGTTTCGAAGATATTAAAAATTAAGTTATAACCACTAAGGAAGGTAAGAAACTTCGGCGCACCATAATTTGTATAACTATAGAGTTATTAAACGTGTTGTTAATCCAAATAATCTTAAAAATTGGCTGTTGGGATAAAAGATTAACAACAATGAAAAGATACATACTTTCTAGTTATTGCGATTCGGCCATAAAATTTGAAAATTGATGATATGAAATGGTGAAATATTAAATTAAAAAAAAAATGGCACAATATCTATAATTTTCATGAGGCTTGGCCAGCAGTTATAGTTGAATATTCAAAAAAAGAATACCTATAAAATCCTTTTTATTTTAAATAACAATGCTTAAACCAACCTCTAACAATGTTTTTAGACTAAAATTTGTATGTCCATACATAGTTCGTAGAATGGCCGAACTTTATATCGAACTTTGTAAACCAAAAAAGCTATAAACAATTAGTCTGATATCCTATGCTATTCATTGAAAAATTTGCGATTCAGAAAAACGCATATCACAAGAACATACATAATAATCTGCCTTATGAGACCTTAGGAGCTGGAGAAACCCCATCAATTTGAGAATAATAAATTGACTGTTGAATACGAGTATTCATATGTTTATTAAGTTTGAGTTTGGCATTATATCATTTCATATGATCAATGAGCCACATAAATATGTACTTAAACGTTATTCATTGGCTTTCACGCTGCTTAAAATTAAGTTTCGAGAATATGTAATTTGTATGGACAAAAATATGGACGTATTTTTTACAACATTTTATCGCATAATATTATTTAAAGATTCGGTTGACTATAACATGTACTATATGTACACATGTAGTAAGTACATATGTATGTATGTATAAATGAATAAGGTTAATATAGTCAATCAGTCAGTCAAATCAGAAGATCATTGAATAATTCCTGAAACGCTCGCTCTCGCGAGCCCGCACCCTCTAGTCAAGTTCATCTTCCTTATAAAGCGTTTGCATTTCCCTCTCTCGAATTAGAGATCCAGCCTCACGCATGTCCTCGATCTCGACCTCTTTTAATGATGTCTGACTGGTGGCTTCTCGGATGAGCAAGACCGGATGGTGATCCTCAGATGAATGATCGGTCGTACGCGGCACTTGTAATACTGTACGCGAACCCATCGATGCTGAAGTGCTGAAAGGATAATTTTGGTAATTACATGCCCGAAATCGATTGGAAGAAATGCTATGCTTACTTGAGGGAGTAGGTCGAACGATAAAGCGGCGGAGGAGTGTTCATTTCCAATGTAGCATAAGCTGCTGCTGCTGCTGCTGCCGCTGTCGGTTGGGCACTGGGATGATAGATGAAGGCGTACTCGTTTAGTGATGTTAGATACGAAGGCGGCGGCTGCCGATGCTGGAATTCTGGGTACAAATAGCTGCCGGGAAGAAGGCGGTTGTTGCAGTGTGGACTGTTGCAGTTGCGACAGGTTTCCATTCGTCGAAAGCAGGGACAGTCATCGACATCATCGGGGAGACTCAGACGCCAAATGGCGCCCGATATCACCAACAGCGAGACCCCAATGCCAATCATCAAGAGAGCCGCACTTAGATACTGTGTCGAATGCTCTATCAGGCCCGTGCTCCCAAGCACTATGCCGCCAAGTGTGCATGCCACGCCACCAAGTGCAAATATTCCTATTACGAAAGGCAGCGAAGGACGTGCGAACCACTTTCGAAAATTATAGGTCACAGCCAGATTGCCCGAGGATTCAGCTGCACTACACATATTGATGTTTGTACTGAACAAGTTGTTGCTGGCTTCCACGGTGCTACCGGCCAGCGGTACAGCCACTTCAAACAGACTTCTGCAAAGAACGAGGACACACATTAGTTTTTTTTCAAGGAGTTGGGAATCTACCTGATGCATCCTAAATTTATCCAATCTAACTAGCCCTTGGCAGGTAGGTAGCTGCCGGTCCCACTCACATTACCTTTTCTATGTATGGATCTATGTTTGTGTCTTTCACTTGTAACCTCGATTGCTATTGATAGTTTTTGAAACTCTACTCGCACAAAAAAAAGTTATGGGCAAGAGGAATACATTGTCAAATCTGGCACGTTGCACCTGTCTTCTGTCTGTTCCAAAACCATCTCCAACGATCCCTTATGTCTGCGTTTATTTTAAAACTAGCATCGAGTGCACCATTTGGTGTTTTTTTATTTGTCGAAGAGGGTTTTTTAAGAAGGGTTGCATTTAAAAGTAGTCTTTAGATTTTACATATAAAATTGCATTAAATTAAATGATGCAATCATTATGATTATGATTTCTCTATTTGTTGAATTTCGCTGGTACTCTTATAAACTTCATACAAGTCCCACTTCAATTCAAAAAACTATTTAAAGCGAGGGAGAACGTTGTGAGTCGAGGCCGTTGATCGGAACTCAGTCGTATATACATACATATTATTTATGTAAAAATATACAGTAAATATACCGATCTGATTCGGCAATCTGCTAGATGTGGTCATTTCCGATTATTCTGCGTTT